GTTTGCAGAGTACTAATTACAGGTATTTTTGGGCTCCATTAACAATGTTTTCGAAATCTGATTTCGACAGATTTATGACTTGCAAAATCATTTATTTTTAGTCTCTCCCATTTGATGTTTTTCTTCTCTGCATCAGACAAGATTAACTCAATTGAACTTAGGTTAAGTAGTACCGGAGCCTCTCCCACAACATGATTTCGTGTGTTTTGTGTGAGGGCGAAAAAAAAAAATCAGTTGAACTTAAGCTACTCTAGAAACTAATCTGTCGAAACGGGGTGTTGTTGGATGAACTTCTGCAGTTATGCATTTACGTAATTTGGAGTTTTGAAGTCTGTCTTTAGTTAGTTGTGTGTCGGTTTTGCCTATTGAAGTTTCTATATGGTTTCGGCTGCTGCTTATGTTATCCACGACTTTGTATGTGATTTTTCGCCTTGCGAAATTCTTATGTTCTGTAAATGGCTCGTTGGCTGTCTCTGAAAGCTAATGTAATGGGGGTATATCTTATCAGCTATTTGTCTCGAATATTTGCTACTCGACATTTTTCCTTCGGGTGAATCGACATTCTATTTTAGATAGGATAGAATCGTTTTCATTAAAATGAATCTCAAATTGCCTAGAGTGAGAAGATTTCACAATGAATGAACTCTTAGTGGATATTAACCCTTTGATTATCTATCGAAATGGATGACGGTGTCAAAGCTGATTAAGGAAAAGTATTAGTGTGTGCGATTTATATTTCGAACACATGAATTTGCTGCGTCCTTTGGGCTCGTGTTGTCATTTTGTTTTTTTTCTCACCGTTGTCTTTCTTTGGCTGTTGTTTGCAGTTAGAGCTGGATAAAAAAAAGAGGAATAATGGTGGCGAAAGATTATCAGAAAATCAAAGGATCGGGTAAATCCGAGGTGGGAGAAATCGACACGAGTGCACCGTTCCAATCTGTCAAAGCTGCTGTCAGTTTATTCGGCGAAAGTGCATTCTCCGGCGAAAAGCCTGCCATTAGGAAGCAAAAGCCACAGTCCGCAGAAGTACGTTGATTCTTGTTTCGGTGTTTTTTTTTTATTTAATCATTATTGCACAATGCAAGTCATAACATGATGCTGTGTCGGTTTTTTCTTGCAGCGCGTGCTGGCAAAAGAGACAGAGCTTCACTTAGCCCAGAAAGAGTTGAATAAGTTTAACAAACAGTTAGAGAATGCCGAGACGACTAAATCTCAAGCTCTTTCGGAGCTCGAAAAAGCTAAACGAACGGTCGAGGATTTGACTCAGAAGCTGAAAATTATTAACGAATCAAAAGATTCGGCTATTAAGGCTACAGAAGCTGCTAAGCATCAGGCGAAGCAATTTTCAGACAATGAATCTTTGTTGGATTTTGAAACTTCGAGGGTTCAGTATGCAGCTGCAGTCGCCGAACTCGATTTGGCAAAACAAGAACTACGAAGAATTCGTCTGGAATATGACGCATCTATCGAAGAAAAAGACTCAGCTGCAAAAAGAGCAGCCGAAGCCGAGAGCGCTGACGTGGCGAACACGGCGAGAGCTGCTGAGCTGTCGAAAGAAATTGCCAGCGTGCACGACTCGATTCAGCAGGCGAAGCTCGAAATTGTGCAGGCGAAAGAAGAGGAGACGAGGGTTTGCTCGGAAAAGGATAAGCAGAAGCTGCTGTGTAAAGCAAAGCTCGAAGAGTTGGCGAAGAAATTGGTTGATTTCAAGAAAGGTATGGACCCTGAGGGAATCAAGAATCTAGAGGGTCAACTAGGCGAGACCTTGTCTGAAATCGAAGCTCTACGGAATCAAATGGAAAACACGAGGGTTTCCGATCTCGATTCTGTCAAGGCTGTCACTACGGATTTGAACGGGGCTAAAGAATCGTTAAACAAAGTGGCCGAAGAGGAGAGCTCGTTGAGAAATCTCGTCGAGACACTTAAATTGGAATTGGACGAAATCAAGAAAAGCCATTCCGAATTAAAGGATAAGGAAGCAGAAACGGAGTCGTTAGCAGGTAATCTTAATGCGAAGCTCCTAAAAAGCCAAATCCGAGCTCGAGGCGGCGCTTTCTGAGGAAGCTAAAATCAGAGGCGCGTCCCGGATGAAATGATTGCTTCGATCC